CTCATCATACACGTCTCAATTCATGCATAGTTAAGAGGCCCAAATACAATCATTCTATTCAGGCAAAAAGCAATAATTCTTAATCAAAACCTGCTTCATATTAGTTTAACTCATTGCAGTTCAAAATGTTTTACTGCAAAACACTATAAATGTATATATAACTTAATATAGTATAAAAGTACATAAATTGAAAGAAACTTTTCAGCTATTCCAAAACTTGAACCTCTGGCTGGATTTTTAACACATAATTTGGAGTTATGGGTCTTCAAAATTGAATGAAATCGATTCATTAGAATCTAAGACAAATGGGCTACAAATGTTTCAGAAGGACCAACAGCCCATGATCACAAGAGTAAGATAACAAAACAAAAGCTCAGAAAATCAGACCAACAATCAGACCTGCATTCAGGCAGAAACCACGTCCAATTGTTTCCTTTAGAATTTCCTACTTCAACCAATAACACTCAATGAAACGGCAATCAAGAACGAGAGAATTCTCAAAGAACACAGGGCAAAGCAACTTTATGATAACTCAGAAACTAATCTTATCTATTTATGGTGGTCAAAAATGGGCCAACTCCATTTAGTAATGCATGTGGCCGACACAACAGAGTTAGTTTGGGTGTTCAGCCATAAGGTGAGGCTATGTATGCCTCCAAATTTTCGGACACAGAGAATGGGTTTGGAAAGATAAGAAGTAAAGCTATAACGTTTAATGAAGAACATAAGACATTATTTTGGGCCAAATTTGAGTGGTCAAAAGGGACAATAATTTCGGGATATACAGGTAGAACATGCATAACAGAACTGTTTTGGAATTTAATCGATAAGTTGAGCTACAATTATTGAATTAGAGCATAAGTATATCTGTTTTGGAAAGCTGAGAAATAGAGCTACAACTTCATGAAGAAATTCAGAAAAGCAAATGGAAGTATAAGGGGTCAAAAATGATTTCCAATCCCTACGGCAGAACACATCTGCACATTAAAATTCAGCAATTTTCAACGAAACAATAACAAAAAGTTTCCCAAATAACTATTTCAAAATCGCCTAACCATGTAAAAACAACTTAAGCAAGTAAATTAAATGATTGCAATAACCTTATACAAGCTTGAATAAGCTTGGAAGCCCTTACTCCTTGGCTTTCTCTTTCCGCTTTGAGGATGGTTTCAACCTCTTCAAGCAAATGAAAAATCAACATTACAAAGCAAAACTTGACAAAAGAAATAGTTGGAGCATGATTTAATGCGCATCAATAAGCATGTCTAAAACCATGAATTCTACTTAAAGCAAAAATTCAGAAAACTCAAAAACCACACTTACTTGCTTCAATGGTAAACTTTCACTTCTCTTTGCTTTTAATCACAAGATCTTCAACTTCTACTTCGCTTAATTCCTTAAGCCATTAAGTCTATTCTATGGTTTAAATTAGGTAGTTTGGTGGTTAAATTTGGAGGTAAGAAAATGAAGAAAATGAAAGAAGAAGGAAGAAAATGGAAATGGCGTGGAGAAGAGAAGAGAAGAAAGACAAAAAATGTTGTGGTGTTTACTTTTAAAGAAGCCCATAAGTCAAAATTTTGACTTCCTAGAAATCATGCAAAATGTGTGGCTAAGATCAAGTCCCTAGTAATGCTCATCCATGGCTCTAAATATTGGCCTCAAATATTCTCTTCTACTTGCTTTTTAACTCCAAACAATTATTAAATTAACTTCCCACTAAAATAATTCCTACATTTATTCTTAAATATACCACAGCTAGAAATATTATGCATTTAATACATAAACTCTCGCAAAAATAATTCATTAAATATTTTCTAACCCACCTAAATCATAGCAAACCATGCTCCCAAAAAATAGTAAATAAAATATTAACTAAGCATATAATTTTTTCCGGAGCTAAAATAATTGCCAAAGTCCCGGACCGATGGTACTATTCACAAGATCCGGTAAATCACTATTACCGACACTAAAAGAAAAAATCAGTCTGTTTACAGTTCTCGCCCCCCTTAAGAATTCCGTCCTCGAATTTACCTGGTGTAATAAACTGAGGATGCTGTTATGTCTTCATAAATTATCTTCACTTTCCGCATGGTAGCTTCCTCGGTTTTATGGTTTCTCCAAAGGACCGGCTTTACCAAAGGAATTCTCTTATTCCTTAGTTCCTTGATTTCGCCTCTCGCAGTGATCCTCACTGGTTCTTCGCTCATAAGTCAAATCTGGGCTCTAATGGTAAGCAGAATCAACTGGTATCAACATGTGATGGGTCGGGAACCCAATACCTCCTCAAACATAGACACGTGGAAAACATTATGTATCCTATTCTAGGTTTGGGTGTAAAGCTAGTCCTATAGGCTAATGACCACACGCTCAATGATCTCATATGGACCATGAAACCTAGGACTAAGGCTTACCCTTTCTTCCAAATCTCAATTAATCTTTTTGCCACGGAGATAGCCTTAAGGAAAACTTTATGCGTCGCCACTGCATACTCTAATAATCTTTCCTCTTAAAATCCGCATAAGATTTCTGACGATCTGAAGCTGGTTTTCCAATTTTTCTATCTCTGATAATATTTTGACGCTTATCCTCTGTGTCTCGAATCAAATCTGGACCTATAATCTTACGCCTCACATCAATTCCGACCAACTACAGTGGGGAGTCCCTACATGCTCCTGGCCATTAGTGCTAACGCGAAGGGAGCCCATCTGATGCTCGACTGATAACTATTGATTGTTAGGTCAAATTCAGTAAGTCGAATGTACTTCTCCCAACTGGGCCCTCAAAACTGGCAATAGCAGCAAGCTTAAGCAATATCCTCCAAAATCTGAATAAACCCGCTCTGACTGACACATCAGTCTGAGATGGAAAAGCTGTGCTGAAAATTCAGCTTAGTACCCAGGGCCTCATGTAGCTTCTTCCAAAACTAGAAGTAAATCTCGGAAATTCTATCTGAAATGATGGAAGAAGGAACCGCGCATGTAATCTCACTATCTTCATCTATATAAAGCTCCTGGCATACTGCTCCACTGGTGAAGGTCAGTCCTAAAAACAGGAAGAAAGTGGTGCCGACTTAGTTAATCTAATGGCAACTATTAAGCCCATACAGGGGCATCTTTCTTTCTAAGGTGTAGGAGCAACCCAATCAGCAAAATCCATGGTAATCCTATCCATTCCACTCCGGATAGAAGTGGGGTTGTAACAAACCATGAAGGAAACTGATGCTCTGGCTTGGCACTTGCTGGGCATGTCAAACACACTCGACAACCATAATCTGTGATATCCCTCTCATGCGGCCGGCCACACAATAGTGTGATTTCAAATCAATGATACATTCTTATTACTGCCAGGATGCATAGCATAGGGACTCTATGAGCTTCGCTTTAAGATAACTCTTTTCTGCAACTCTGAAATTTTAGGGCAGGCAGCAATTCGATCCCCAAAAACAAGGCAGTCCTCTCTCTAAATGCTCAAATCCCTTCCTCTTACGCCTCTCTGACTAGGCCTTTGCCACAAGGCAATAGTCCTCATACACCCTGCTTGTGCATCTCTAATCTGCTGCAGTAGGCTAGGTTTCACGCAGATAGCTCTGCTAGCAAGAGCACCATCTCTTAAAGTCACAGTTAAGTGTGGGCATATCATAGCAGCGAAGAGCAACTAAATGCCTTTCTAGGCTGAGTGCAGTCTGCACTACATTAGTTCTTAACCTCGGGTGGTAAATACAATAGTGAACTCAACTAGTCCTTAATAGTAGCTCTACCATCATCGCTGCCCTCAGGTTAAGCGCTCTCTCTGTGTAAGCAAATACTTAAGGCTCTTATGAATCCCGTATACAAGTGGGCATTTCTGCACACATATAAGTAATTCTCCAAATCTTTCAGCAAACACAATAGCTGCTAAACTCCAAATCATAGGTAGGGTAGTTCTTCTCATGTGGCTTCAAACTGCCGGGAAGCAAATAAGCAATCCAAACCTGCCTCCTGCATAAGCACAGCCAACCCAAAACCATTAATGCGAAGCATCAACTAATAAACATCATATTGGTCTGCCATGGAGCTGCCTTGTGTTCAAAACTTGGAAAGCCTCAGTAAAGCATCGCCTTTAAAGCCTTCTTCAAGAGCTAACTCTGGCATCTAATTCAGTGCCACTTCAAACGGACATCCCTTAATGGAGAAGTTTCTAGTCAAAGGGCTGCAATAAGAGAAAACGCCCCTTGAACAAACCCA